ATCAAACTATGCAACAATCCACTTTAGCTTTTTCTTTCTTATTTTCTTTCTCGTCATTGTTTCTCTTTGCTGCCAAACGGAACATTATGGTGCACCTTGTTGAGCCCTGTTTGACTGAGTAATATAGGCTAAGTTTGTTTTATCTTTATCGTACCATAACGCACATTCTCTAAGGCATGATAAATGACTAAAATGCATTGCAGAAGGAATCCCAATCACATTCAATGAAAGGGAAATTAAAAATGGAGTGATGCCTAAATTGCATTTAATAATAAATATAAGGTTAATTTTATAATATTCTTTAAAAAAATTTTAGAGTATCGTATATGACAAATTTTAATTAATAATATTTAAACACATATTTAAATAATAAATTATAATATTTATTATATTGGAATAAATTAAAAAATATTTAATTCTTCAAATAGAATTAGGACGTAATTAAAATTTTAAAATAAAATAATATTATTATATTAATATATTTTTATATTCTTAATTCTATTATTATTAATATTTAATTATTATATTAATATATTATGTTATATTTTTTATATATAATAAATAAAAATTATTTAAATATGAATTATATTTTATTTAAAATTAAAAAATTAAAAAAATAATAAAAAAGTAAAATAAAAAATTTAATATAATATATATATATAATAAAAATACATAATAAATAATATAATTTTAAATAAATTATATATAATAATATTTATTTAACTTATTACGTATTTTTTTATTAGTATAAATTTTTTGAATATGAAACTCAAAAAAATTTAGAATAACACAACACACATCTAAATATGAGCACGAAAATATTGTTTTTACGTACTAAACTAAAATGTGTTTATGAAAATTTTAACTTGAAATGATACAACTTAATAATCTTTTAAAAATTAATTCACGTGTTTGATAATAAATAAAATATCTATTTAATTGAAAAATATTTATATTTATTATTTTTACAAAAAATGATAAAAATATCACCATCGTATAAAATATATAAAAAGACTTTTTACACTATTTTATATTTTTCAAGTAATATATCAAATACTTCTCATATCTGTAATAATTTACTATTAAAAATTATTTTCTTACCTTTTGATTAACTTATCAATTATTTTCATCAGTCAGACCTTTGATCTTTCTCTTATCGTATAAAACTCGGACCAAGGGCTCTATTTTCTGTCATTACGTTAGTGTGACTTCAGAAGATAAAAGCCCAGATAATGCACATAGCACATCAATTATGGTATCCATGGTCCAATAAGATAGAGTCCTTTTGGGCCTAGAATTAGCAACTATAGTTCATATAGCCCATTAACTTATTTATAAAATTATCTTTATATGGATCAACTTAATTTTGTACCATCTAAATCTGATCTTAATTAAATATAGGTATCATTGAATTTCTTTGGATTTATAAACCTATTTTAATATGAAAAAACTGACCTAATCAAGTTAGAGATGGGTGAAGGACATCTGCCACCTGTCTCACAGACACAACTTCTAATTTTACAATACATCTTTGTCACAAGAAAATAGTTGAATCAACAATCTTAATCCATTATTACAAAAACTCTATTTTTTTTTATAAAGCAAAAACTCTATTAAAATGTTCTCTAGAGCAATATCAAAATAGTATCAGCCACCCTAAACAACAAAACGAAAAGATAGTTTAAAAAAAAAAAGAGTGGACTGGCCCCACTGGGTCCAATAAGATTCACTACGATCTACTTACTTTAAGCTTAGGTCCATCTCACAATCAATAATTTTATCCTTTTTGTTGTTTCAAAATATTATCTGATAAAAAAAAAAGTTTGGGGCTTACATGAAAAACATAAGACATGCAAAAGAAAAGGATGGAACCTCAGATCCCTGCCATCCCAACTCCCTCCCTCCCTTTACACGATTCAAATGCGAAAACAAAAATCTAATTAATTTTAATATTTTCTCCGTTTCAAAACAAAACCTTGCACATTTAAGCGCTTGTTTGGTGTCCAATTGTAAATAAATAAATAAATCGAGGAGTATATACTTTTTTTCACTTTAAGTTTTAACATATCACGTTAAAATACATGTCATATTCTTAAGAGATTTTGTGTGACAGTTAAAAAGAGATAGATACACATAGCACACAGACTAAGACAATAAGAAGGAAAAAGGTAAAGAAAATAGGTACACATTACAAGCGTCTTTGAAACTAGATTGCCTTCCAATTATAGGCCACATACACTATTTATGGCCCAATCCTCACACATTTGACTCTTCAAAATAATTGTATTTTTAAAGATATAAGCGCATCTGAAAATGTTCCTCAAACATGATTGGACTAATCTAATTATCAAATCAAATGGTTAATTATGTAGTTAAAAAACTAAAACGTTAATTTCACTCTTCACCAACTCCGACCAAACAGGTTCTATTGTCACAATTAGTACACCAAAGTTCCCTCCAAGTCTTGTTAAAAATATGCATATAGTAATTAAAAGTTCCCTCCGAGTCATGTACCTATATTTGTTTGTTATTGAGTGACATGACCCACGTCACTGTTCTACCCTTGTATCATTTTCACACTCCAATTACATCCAATGATAACAACACCTGCAAACTATTCTAAGGAAAGTCTAATAAACACCTCCAGGTGTTAGTGTTCTAGTGGTACACTAAAGCCTACCAATTAATCATTGTATTTCCTTAATTTCAATTTTACTATTTTCAAATCGCGATACTTTTCTGTTCCACACAAAACAAAATAAAATTTGAATAAATTTGTAGATAATTCAACAAGATTTATTTCTCCACATTCTGAATATTAAAATATTGTATCATATTATAGTTGTTTTTCTTAAGTTAATAACATTTGGTGTAACGATATTGACATTCCATAAAATGAACATTAATATAATAATAGCAACGTGAGGCGTGGGGATTATGATTTGATAGGGGAAGAACAATGGGGAAGAGGAACCGCACACGTGGCGTAATCAGGAATGAAAGAGTTTATGATGATGTCATGAGTTGCATGGAGATAAAATACGTTGCTATAGTGAATACCTATTACATGTTGCCACGCATGAAGGATCCACCTGTGTTAAAGTGGTGGACATAACACGTGTAAAATCAGAATGGTTCATTTCATGTTATAATATATATGGGTGGCCCACTCAGAATTTCTAGCCGACATTACAATTAATTAAATCTAACAGGTAAATATCAAAAGTATAATTTTTCTTTTGCTTTTGTGCCCCTGCTTTGTTGCTATCAAAATTAACTAAATTCAAATGTTGTGTCCTAACAGTGAAACATAATAATGCTCTCTTTTTCTAAGATTTCCCACAAAAATGAATTTAACCAACATTTATTCATAAATTAATGTATGTTAAATATGCAAGGAAGATATATAACATTAATTAAAGAAAATACATAAGATGGAAGGATAATGACCCCACAACATAAAATGTTAAATTGAAACAATAGCTCAACTAATAATTATCATTATATTTTTGAAATAACTAACACTTAAATCACATTACTTTCACCAGCTCAAAGTTTGAAATCAATGTCCCTTTTAACTATAGTATAATAATCGAAGTTTAAGACGCAATTGTCTGAAGTGACGAACAAGTATATGTGTGTCGACAACAATTTTTCAAAAACACAACAGATGGACACAATAATGTCTTACCAACAACAAAAAATTGAGCAGTTCTAATTTGAAGTAATTTTACTCAAAACTATTGAAGGTTTCCTCTCTTTGGGGTGAAATTCATTCCCTTTTCCTACCATAGGGAGTAATGGTGGTATGCCCTTGGCTTAGTTTCAACTTAGGTGAGTTTATAATTCTTTTTCCTTTTTCATATTTTAAAGGTTATATTTCTTTCATATATTTTTTTTTATCACATCATATATAAAATTTATATTTTTTGCTTCTCCCCGTAGGGATATGCAGCCTTAGAAATGTCAAACTAATATTTTAAAAGAAAAACAAAAATCATATGTATCTTGCTTCTAATTTAATCTTTTTCTTATATTTTTATAATTTTTAATAAATTTTACCCAATAATTAAAAAATATATTTCTTACATTTTTCATATAACCATGCAAGTACTAAATATTCAAATACAATTATATGTTATGCAATAGTTCAAATGTATGAAAGTAAAAGTTTTAATCAAGGCTGTTTTTTTTTTAATTTTATTTTGACCCTTCAGATTGATTTGAGTAAATAGCAAAAAATTATTGGTTAATTTGTTATAACCCAGTTAAACCGTTAGTCCTATTTTAATTACGCGGATTATGTATTTAATCTTAAGTTAAAATATAAGTGTTTGTAGAGTTTTTTTTTAAAAGTTCAAGTAACTCTTTTAACGCCATAGACAAAATGTTGTCTAAGGGATTATTAATTATTTGTTTTGGTAACAATTTTTCACTTACAGCTAGCAGTCACACTAATTATAAAATTGTTGCTTAAATAGAATAAATTATTATAATTTTTGAGGCATTGAAAAATAAAACTTAATCTAATCTGACCAATACACTAATAATAATACTCTATAACTTAAGCATAATTTGAAAAATATTGATAATTATGAAAATTGATTTGGACAATTAGTAAAAGAATTAAAATAAGAAAATAATTTTATTCTAAAATTAAATTTTAAGTGTTTGTTGAGTTATTTTTTCACTAAAATTAATGTTTATTTGAACAAATCATGCTAATTTTAATTGAAAATAATACTAAAAACTTTTATCCTTACACTTAATCCATACAAGTTACGGGTTAATTTAAGTTGGCACACACTTTAGGACTTTATTGAGGAGTGGAGACTTGGGAGGGACTAAGAATGAGAAAAAAGAGAGTTTGGGTGTCCTAGTATAGAAATAAAGGAAAGGTAAAGGGCTAAAAAGAAGCAAAGAAAAACACTTGAATTTGTCCCCAAAAGAAGTCACTGCTTACAAAAGATTTTCATCAAAAATGTACTCTCCTCCACTCCATCCCTATTTTATTGTCTTTCAAGCTCTGTCTGTGTGGTCTACACTCCTCTCTCCATTTCCATTCATTAAGAACCTCACAAAAACAAAAGTACCTCTCTCTCTCTCTCGCACACGCGCACACACACACACACACAATCACACTTCGTACACTTTCCCTTCACTGATGACTACTGACACATAAAAAGTTAAAACCCCACACACACTCCAAACACAGCCTTTGGGATGATGAACGACCGAATAATGGCTTCAACGAGGCAGGAATCAGAGGAAGAGCAAGAAGATGAACAAATCAGAGAGATCCATGCTTTGACCCCACCTCGTCCTCCACCGCCACGTGGCCGTCGAAGAGAAGCGTGGGAAACACACAGTCACAGGTCATCCTCTCTCTCCATGGCTAGCACAGAAAGCGAGAACTTCACGAGCATGAGCAGAGAATTCAGCGCTCTCGTCCTAGCAGGCTCAACTATTGACCACAACAACATAAGTCCTATGATCAACAACACCCACGACAATGAAAGAAACAACAACATAAACAATAACCACAACTTGGGAAGGATCAGAGAAGAGGAGTTGATGGAAGAGACCAACCCTTTGGCGATCGTCCCAGATAATCACCCCTTGGGCCATGTTCCATCTCAAGGAATAATGGGTGCTACACGTGGCAATGGTCAAGGTCAAGGTCAAGGTGGCGGTGAGGAACAAGTGTCGGTGCAGAGGGTGAAGAAGGAGGAGGTTGACGCTAAGATATCAGCATGGCAAAACGCTAAGGTTGCTAAGATTAATAACAGGTTCAAGAGAGAAGATGCTGTCATCAATGGGTGGGAGAGTGAGCAGGTTCAGAAAGCAACTTCTTGGATGAAGAAAGTTGAGGTAAAATTAACTGTAACATTTTTCTCACGCTGTTATTTGCATGTTTCTAGTTCTTCGTGGGTGCCTCTTCTTTTTTTTTTTTTTGTGTTAGTGGATTGATTAGGCTTCTTTTCAGCTTATGATTACTCTCAAGACTAAGAACAGAGAAGGCTTAGATTGATTGATTATTGATTCAATCAATTCATGATCAAGGTTAACTGTGAAATTAAAGAAAGATTGAATAAGATTAGCTAGATAGTTATTGTCTAGATGATTGCTTCATCATTATTATTGTTATTAATGATGGATTTATGCATATAAGCAAAGGTGGGGAATTATTTTCCCTTGGTTGTTGAGGAACCACAAAAAAAAGGAGGAAAGAAAAACTAGTTATAAAACATAAATAAGTCTAGATTCATTGTCAGTCTTCATTTCCTTCATTATCATCTTTGTTATTTCCTAAGCAATAGTGTCAGCTGCAGCATCTACCCTTTGTATCTTGGTCATATATATGGGTTTTTTTTTGGCATGCATTCCTTGAGCTTGATATCACATAATACCACAGGTTTAATGTCTAAATCATCAGAGGCTGAAAATGATGTGGAGATATCACGGGAAATAGTCCTTTAAAAAGTTGAACTACGACTAATAAGCTCTTCAACGGACAACCTCTCATTTTTCAACTTTTTCTTGCATTGGTAATTGCTATAAAATATCATCAACCTCCAATCAATTTCTATAAACGGTACATTCTTTTGGTTAGTATATACATAACATGGTGATATCAAAAGGGATTTCTATGGTCTGCATTTATTGCCTTATTATTGAAGCAAGCTACTTTTACATTGACATAGAAAAGAGGTGGCAATGTGTTACCCACCAGCAAGTAACAAGTTGTCTTGTCCTATTATTTAATTTCATGTTAATTTCAATTTTCAACTAACATAACGTGGCCATAGTAGTAGAATTACAAAACGTTGACTATAAATAAAAATAATCTTTTGGAGCTATACACAGTGATTACAATTTAATTAAGTTAATCATGAGCCAAAACTCTAATGCATTGTGCAGAGGAAGCTGGAGGAGAAAAGAGCAAGAGCACTGGAGAAAATGCAAAATGAGATAGCAAAAGCTCATAGAAAAGCAGAGGATAGAAAAGCATCAGCAGAGGCAAAAAGAGGAACTAAAGTGGCAAGGGTTCTTGAAATTGCTAGCCTTATGAGAGCAGTTGGAAGAGCTCCAGCCAAAAAATCCTTCTTTAAAGCTGTCTAATATTTTATATTTTCAAAAACACAATCTAAGGTATACCAAAAGGGAAAAAAATTGAGAGAATATTTATTATGGGTATAATAGATGCCATAGTCTATAAGAGCCCCTTTTCCTTTTTAAATTAGCTAAAGGGTGCGAGGGATTGCAGTGAGCAGCACTAAAAAAATTGGAGACGTGTGTTATATGAAAACCAATTGGAGTGTTTTTAAGTGATTGATTACAGTGTATGAATGTGTTGAGTGGTGACATGCTCATTTGATTGTGCTGGTTAAACACTTTTGTGTTTTGTACATTAAATATATATTTTGCTTCTTTGAATTATTTACCTCTCATGATCACTAGCAAATGCCCACACCATACCTAACTGTGGCCGGTGCTTACCTACATTTGTACTGATATTCTCTAAAATATGAAATTATGGCTTACCAAACTGCTCCCCACAAATCCATCCAATCATTTGTTAATTCTCAAATCCTCTCTAAGGAGACACAAATAATTGTTAAGTTTTGAGTTGCAGATTTAAACATCCAAGTAATTGCATGCTTAACGCACTAAATTGCATATCTGACTTTGACATGAAGGTGAGATTTTCTCATCTGTTGGAGCCTAGCTGCACATATATATACCTTAAAAAGGTGAGATATTAGGGATATATACGCACTAAGCACTAAAAAAGTAAATTAAATTTACAGGTTTTTTCTTTTAAAATTAAGAACAAATATACATACTATACTTTTTTTATTTCGCATGCTATTTAACTGTAGAGCAACTAAATGTTTGAACTCGTTTAGTTATACATGTTTTGGCTAGTGTTTGAATCTCTGAACTTCCATAAATTCAAGGCTAGCTTCGTCTAAATCGTGGAGAAACAATAAAATTTGAAGAAAAACATGTAGTCTTTTCAAAGTTGAAATATATTTTTGTTCATATTAAAAAAATTTATTATTCATTGATATATATATACACGCACGTGAATATAAACTAAATTGAAATATATTAAATTTTCAATGACAGTTATAATATCAAATAATATGGAAAATGTTGAAAGTAATTATACATATATGAATTAAATTATTTTTTATGAAAAATTAATTTAAAATATGGATTATATAAAGAATTAAAATATATTTTGAAACTCATTCGAAAATTAGAAGAAAATAATAAAGATTTATTTATATTAAAATTGTTGTCTATCTAATAAAATTGTTATTATTTAAATTGAATTTGATAATATAAACTTATAATTTATTTAGGAGTTTATATATATTTTTTAAATATTAATAGTGTTGTTTGTTAATAACAAAGCTAATTTTTGAAAAATTTGTTGGAATAGCATTTAACTTATGACTATCAATAAATTTATCTCAATTTTATTTTTATCTTCTTAAATAAATTACACATAAGTACAAATTAATCTTAATATTTTTCTTTTTATTTAATTATAATGTTATATTAATATAACATTACATATTCTTTTTAATTATTTAATACATTTCAGCTAGTTGTACTAATTAAGCACCTCTAATTCAAATTGGTTATAAATTACATAATTTTATCTAACTTATCATAAAGAAAGAAAATTATTTTATATGTTTAATTTATAGCCATGTTTTTAAAAAATAAATTAGTCATTAAAGAATTAATTCATAGTTGAATAGATCAACAATGATCAAACTGTAATTAATTTAGTTAAAATGCTTACACACAATAATATAAGCATTTTAACTAAATGATCATGACATAGAAGTTAACAATTTTGAGACACTTTGCATTTTCACCCTAGGCCTACCTAAAATTATTTCATGCATTAACTACATTAATCGATTCAAACCATAAAATTGATGTTCATTTAGCATGATTTAATGCAATATAAAACTTAATGGTGTGTCAATTCTTTAAGATGCATTAAACAAGCCAAATTTTTTCTGAGAAGATTAAAGAAACAATCCAAGTAATAGTGATAATAGTTGTTGATTGCAAAAAAAAAGTAAAAGAGTATCTAATATTTTCGTTAATAACTTTTATCGACATATAGAGGAAAAGGTTGATTGAATTTGACACACTTCCCTAGAATAGGAATAACATAGGCTTTTGCTTCCTTCTACCGAGCTTCATATTTTAACCATATTCTTTATATCCTTCTCCTGTTTGTATTATTGAAATGATTTGTTCTTTTCATTTCATTGGATGCTATATATAATGACAGTCTTTAAAGCCCTTAATTATGAGAATAATCTAATCTACTCCTTTCCTTCAACATCAATTCAGTTCTTGAAACAGTAATTCGTGCCAAATTCACAGCCCCTAAATCGAGACACGTTAAACCAAGGATTATTAGCATTAACTCGAAAATCACTTTTATATCAGTATCCAAACTCAAGCCTCTTATGTCCATCTCATTTCTCACAAGTTCTTCCAAGTTATTTTATTAATTTTTTCATTTGAATCATCCACGCTGACTTTGGTTGATTCCTTTACATGAGTGTCAAGGCTTAGAGCATCTAGTTAATGTGCAACTTTTTCAAAGCGTCATTCCAAGCACTGAAATTTCAGATCCTCCATTGCTCCAAAGTTTCAATGCAATTTCCATATTAATCTTGTATAATTAATCTTGTGGTCTATTGTTGCTTTGATTGTGTGTTGCCAATTTGCCATTGGCTTTGCCGAACAACTAAGGGTTATGCCAACAAACGTAGCGTGTTGCGGAATTAAAGGTTATCACTCGACATAATATTTAATTAAAGATAAACAATCAACTCAAAGCTTGAAAAAATTATAATTGTGTTGAATAAATATCAAAACTAAATAATAAATGTACTTAAACCGATGCTTAAACTTAATAATTATCAAATTCTAATAAAATATAAAGTTCTAATCAAATAATATATTTCTAAAAAAATATATAACTTATCTAAGATATTTCTAAAAAGAAATTTTAAATATCTACATAACATAATTATCATAAAATTTATAAATCATGTAAATAATATCTAAATATATAAAAAATGCACAAAGTTAGAATTATTAAAAAAAACATAATTAAGTATCCTAAACCATGAACTTCCTGGAACTCTTCCATTCGAAGTTCTACTTCAGTGTTTAGCAGCTTAACTAATAAATTTACACGCTTGCAATCCACAAACGATAGCTAAAGTTAAAAACAGTAGAAAATATCTATTTCTGGTACAACGTGAATCACCAGTGGAAGGTTTTTTTCATCATTCCGAATCTAGAAAAGGATTGGTTGCCGACATGGGACACATTGTCAAATGTGAACAAAACATATGATAGATAAAACGTCCTTATTGGTAAACTCCGCTATCCACAAATAGATCATTGAGTTTATCAAAAGAAAAAGGGATCAGTGAAAGAAAAGTGTTACATGCACTACTAATTGAGATATTTTAAGTATTTTTTATATTTAAAGTTTATCTTTAAAATATATGTATATAAAAAATAAAAAGTAACATATAATATTAACGTTTAGTGACTTAAATAAAGAAAGGGCAATAAAAATCATCTACCTAGTATTACATTTGTATTGTGAATGGACAAATATAGTCATTCTTCAACTTTCTTTATCTTTCTCCAACAAAAAAAAAAAAACAGTTTCTGTAACATAATATAATTAATTCAAATATATTGTAGAAATAATTTTTAAATTAATTATTATACAAATTAATAATTCTTACCAATACGATAGTTAATTATTAACTAACAGTGTAAAATTTTTAATACTATTAATATATTTTAATTAAATTCATAGAAAAATGTTTTTCAACACATTATCATTTTTATTTTTTTTAAATGTGACATTAAATAATAGCACAAAAAGAAAAAAAAAGTCTTATATTATTAAATAATAGAATATAATTTTACTAAATTTAATTAATAAAATTGACAATGAATCATGATAGATTTTTATTTAATAAAAATTACATATATCATTATAATTAATATAGTCATATTGAACACTATAAAAAAATATAAATTCATCAACCATTTTCCTTTTAACATTGCATGTATATACTTCTGTTTACCAAAGAGAATCATGTGTTTTTCACCTCATATTTTGTCGATCCTTAATCCATTGGGTCGCTGACAATAAAAGAAACAGGGGGGGGGGGGGTTCAAGCATCGGTTGAAGTCTCTGTCGTGCAGTGTATGATGTTATTTTACTTATGCAGTAAGATTGCAATAAACAAAAAGATTTTTCTTTATTTTTTTACATTGGCTTCATAGATATTGTGAGATGTTTGCTTGCCTGTATGTTTGTCCTTGGACTTTCTACTTGTTGTGGCAGCTCTGGTAAAATAAATTTCTGCATGAAAATCTTGTAGAAATTGAATTATCTTATGTTAATAATTTGAGACAGTTACTAAATCAACAATATACTTAATTTCAGTATAAGTGTGTAATGTATGTCTGAAATCTAATATGATTTTAAAGCTAATAATTTAAAAGTACCCGAAATCAAATATCATTTTAATGCTAATTATATGCCATGTAATCCATGCATTAAATCCTTATTATGACCATGAAGGAGCATAAATAAGATGCTGCCGCAGTTTGCATGTCAACAAGAACAATCGGACACTAATTTACAATGAATATTATAGAAATGATGCATTTCAAATATTCAATTGAGAATCTCTCTAGTGAAAGTTGTATGCTATTATGGTATATGCTTAATATTCCAAACCTTTTAACTGTTAGGGACGGGCTACTTGCATATCCCCTTACCTCTCAAGAACTTGAAATCTTGCTAATGAACGAAAGCACAATTCTAACAATATTACCACACAAAATCTAGAAGCAGCTGTAGATAATTTCTGTTCTTGGCCCCTTGCAGCAGCTCCAATTGACTTGCATAAATTTCTCTATTTATCATTGTACATATGATCAACATATCGATTTGAATTTTCTGGATTCTAAGTAAATTTCTCACCTTTTTTATTCTGAAGAACTCATTGCAAAATTGTATAGGGTTTTGTTCTCCAAGAAAAATAATCTTGCTTTCCTCTATTAGAAAACGTTTATACATACTTTCTCTCGTATATTTGCTGTGTTTCCTACTTGAAATGCTGCTTCTTATAATATGTTAGAGTTATCTTACTTGCACATTATTGTTGTCCTTTGGTTTTGTAGTTAGACTCGGTTCTAGATCCAATGCCACAAACGAGATTTATCTTAAAAGGGCTCTAGAGTTTGGCCACACAAATGTTGCTGTTGTCAGTAAGATACATAGACCTTCTATTCGTTCAGCTTTTGTCAAAAATTCTACCCTTTTAACTCTTTATTAAACTAAATGCAA